AGCACTATAATTATAGGAAATAGACTTATCAAATGTAACACCCCCAACCCGTATCCGACCCGGATACGAGTCCGAAGTGTCACATTGACTTTTCAAACATTTATTCGTATAAAATAGTGAGTAATTTAAAACTTTGATAACATTTAAATTACTTCAAAACGTTTACAACAGATATCAGAGTTCATACCATTTATATCTTTAGACTACATGCCAACTACACTCTGTAAACAGTACATACATTTTCTGATCTGACATTTGGTAAGGAGAACTGACCTGTCTTGCTCCGCATTACTCTTTATTCTTCTCGAAACCTACGTGTGAAACAATCACACGCTAAGTCGTTGACTTAGTGAGGCAATAATTAAACATATAACAATAAATTCATGAACGTGCATTCATACCATTGAATCATGACATCTCAATATGCATGTATCTATTGCATGATAACAATATATATAATCATGTCATACACACACGCAACATATCTTCTTGTATTACTTTCACTTTTCGTTTGTCTTCCAATTGCATTGCCCATGTATATTATTATCTTTATCAACATCATTATAATTCAAGCAACACATGACATATCACCATAAGTATATACATCACATATATCTTATACATTACATTCCATGTTATCTCTTATTAGCCCATGTGCACCTGTGAGAACTGTAGATATGTGAGTCTATTGAGGTTGTGCACCACTATGCTGTCACCACAGCTCATATAAATGTCTCGAAGGACCTATCCAGAGGTCACACAGACCCCGGTAACTATCCAGAGGTCATAAAGATCCTCGGTAACTGTCCAGAGGTCATAAAGATCCTCGGTAAACTGTCCATATGTTCCTTAGAACATAGGTATACTGTCCATATGTCTCGAAAGACATAGGTAAAACTGTCCATATGTTCCGTAGAATATAGGTAAACCCTCGACTCTTGGCATGCCAACTATACCCCTAGCTCTCATATCACATAACATGGGCATTATCATTTATAACATTTCATATCACTTGTACCACATATTGCATATTCATGTAATCATATAGATCATGTCACATGGCTTATATCATTTCTCATATTCATATATATATAGTTCACTTTCACATATCACATTTTCCTTTTCTCCTATTTTTCATATCATGTCTCTTATAACCACATATGTCTGTCTTATCTCATATCCTATAATTCTTTAGCTTATATCTTATATCACATGTTTATATCATATAACTTATGTAATCACATATACTATTTATACTAGTTCACATAGCTTATTTCACTAACATGTATTCACATGTACATGTCACTTTTCGTATGATTTCATAATCATCTGTCACGTAGCTTATAACATTTCTCTTGTGTTCATCTGGCATGTAACTCATTGTCATCTCTTATTCTCATATGATTCTCATACACCAAGTATATCACATAGCTTGTTACCTATATAAATATTTTCTCATAACTTATCATCACATAGTTCCCATAACATTTTCCTATAGATTCATAAATCTTTACCATATAACTCATGTATTATATGTTCATTTCCGCTCATATATCCTCTCCATATAACTTATTTACATATTCATATAATCACTTCTGTCAATGTCTCCTCATTTATATATCATTCTTATATTGCCCTATAAATCAATGTTATTTAACTTATCTCACTTTTCATTTAATCTCATAAGTTGGTTATACAATTCCTATATATATATCTAACTCATGTAATTTATATCCTTTCTCTTGTTATCATATAAATCATTGCCGTATAACACATATCATATAAATTCATACCACCTAACATGTAATACAACTAAACATATTCATGTAATATAAACATAATCATACAATCATATATTCAACATATGGGAAACAGACTTGTCGCAAGTCAAATTTCCATACACAATACGTATATTCTAATAGTACGCACTCACCTGGCCTCACTAGTCAATATCGATCTGTTATTTTTCCTTGATCGATCTTACTTGCCAAACGTTCCGGAGTTGCTTTATGCGTAGAATCTACATACATGTATATTTTGAGGCAATCATTAGATACCTGCACCTTGTAATTGGATACTAGCAACTTAAACGAACTTATTAAATCAATATTAACATTTTTCTTTAGGGGGAATCGGTTCCCTACCATGGGGTATCGATTCCCTCAAGACATTCTGGAATTCTGTCGTTTGAAGGGGTATCGGTTCCCCTTGAATGGGTACCCATTCCCCTTGCCCAGAAATCATATTTTCAACCCGAAAATTTCTTCATTTCCACTCAAACACTTCATATATCATCCCCTTTTCATTCTTAACTCTAGTACACATACTTAAACCAATCTATATTCATTTATTTCATCTTAAACCTCAAAATCCTATCATCCATATAAGATTCAAAAATCATACCAAATTTTCAATGTGTTCTAATTCCCATTCTAACACTTCATACTTCTTAATTAGATTGATGACAAGTCAAATTCATCCATAAAACTTCAACAACCATACCATATCAAAATTTCATCTTAAAACTCATATGGCAAATTCCTTCATAATTCCTTTATCTTATTGTTTAAATCCCATATAAGCTTTCCTTAAGCTTATTTAATACCCAAAGAATCAAAACTAAGCTTAAAACTCAAGAATTAACCAACTGAAATTAAACTTACCTTTGCCTTGCTCCCCCACGTATGAAGAAGAAGAAAGGAGAAGAGCACTCTGGATGGTTCTCACACATCCCACGTTTATATTACCCTTAAAAAGGAATATAAAAATCTTTCTGGTCAAATGACCATTTAACCCTTAATTTCCTTTAATAATTACTAATTAACCTTCATCATATATATCCAATAAGCATTGAACTATTTCATTCTTATACTTTAGTCCCCAAATTCTGAAACTTTACAACTTGATCACTAACCCGGTATTGAGGATGTTACATCGCAAGTCAAATTTCCATATAATCCCATATCAAACTAAGATGCACTCACCTGGCCTCGCTAGTCAATATCGAACCCTTATCTTTTCTCAATGTCTATTACTTGTAACTTGTCCGGACTTTGCCTTCAATTGATATATACACAATCATGTATACCTATTAGCATTCTAAATACTATGATTCGATCCTTGATTTCTTAAACTAAAAGATCTAATTCCATTTTCCCTTTTGAAGTGTATCGGTACACACTATAGTGTATCGGTAACCACTATAGTGTATCGGTACACGCTATAGTGTATCCGTACACACTATAGTGTATCGGTACATTCCTTAACGCTTGTATCGGTACATTCCTTAGCGTGTGTATCGATACACTACCTATGTATCGATACATAAATTACATTCGATGTTTTTCGTTATAAAGGGTGTATCGATACACTTCCTATGTATCAGTACACTTTGAACATTTTCCAGATTTTACTCTTGAAGTGTATCGGTACCTATTGAATGGGTACCAATACACCCTTACCCAAAAATTAATTTTAAGCACGAAAATTCATTCTTTTCAACTTCAATACTTCATGTTCCATCCCCTTTCATATACTAAACTCAAATACACATACTTAAACTTATTTCTACTCATTAATCACATCTTTAACCTCAAAATCCTATCTTCCGTATGTAATTTAAGAATTACACCAAATTTTCAACATGTTCTAAATCCACTTTTAACACTTCATATCTTTAAATTAACCATTGACAAGTCAAATTGAACTTCCAATTCTATTTATCAACTCTATTCCATTTTCATTCAAAAACTCCAAATCTTTAATCTTCTATAACTCTTTCATTCTTTGTTTTAAAGCTAACTTAAGCCTTCCTTAAGCTTTTCTATCACCCCAAGAATCAAAACCAACTTTAAAACGACAGATTTAATCAACTTGAAACCAACTTACCTTATCAATGGAGTCACGGGTAGAGGAGAAGAGGAAGGCTGAACCCTAGTCTCCAGATTTTTCTATTTCCTTTCCTCCCTTATCCCACGTGATTTATAGCCCATAAAGAAAAGATAAAAATCTTTCTTGCTAAATGACCATTTTACCCTTCATTCTTTCCATCTTTACTAATCAATCTAAGCCAAAGAATTACAATTAAGTCCCTATACTTTTCAATTTTCCCAATTTGATCACAAAATTCCAAAAACTTCTATTTTAGTCATTAATCCGGTTTTTGGGATGTTACACTCAGCTCAAACTCAAAAAATAATTAGGAGCCCGATTGAAGCTCGATTTTGAGCTCGATTCAAGCTCGAACTCAAACTCAAACTCGAATTTGAACCTACAAAAATCTTATATTCAATTTAAAAATATATTTTTGAAATTTATAATTATCAATAATTTATTTTTAATATATTTTTAATAGTGTATTTTAAAAAATATAAAATTATAATATAACATTTTTTCGAGTAGCTCGCGAGCTTTTCGAGTCGAATATTAAGTAACTCGTTTTATCTCGTTAAGAATTCGAGTCGAGTTCATTCGATTCGAGCTTTGAACCGAATCGATCTCGAGTAGCTCGTGATATGTCTAGTCTCATTTAAAGCCCTAATCTACGTGACCCGTCCAATGTTGATGTTAGAAAAGCCGATTGATTCTTAGCCATTTGGTCCATGACATTTGTTTAAATTATTATTTCCCCATAACTTCATATTTAAAATAATTATTTTTATGATCATTTACACTAAATATTTATAATAAGTATATAAAATAAAAAATATAATAATATATTGTGATCAATATTTAGATAATCTTCAAAAAAAAATGATAGGGTTTCACTTAAATTCATTCTTGAATATGATTCGACTTCACCACTTATTTGTTACTGTTTGTCTTCTGATGAGTTGTTAACGTTTCCCAGAGTGATGTGGAAGTGGTCGACATGGCAAAATTGGAGGAGCGAGCAGCACAATTGGAGAAAGATGTCATTGTAAAGGAAAGAGAAACACCGGAGACCAGAGGTTGAGCAAAAGATTAGGGTAAGAATCTATTCAAGAAAATAGGACAAGCAGCGAGACCAGATGTTTCATTGAACAGCCGAGTATAAAAACGACCGAGATGAGGCTACTCGCTGCCAAGAAAATGAAGGAAGCTGCAGAAGATGTGGCTTTTGCAGAGATCAAAACTCTTTCGCACGAGGAGAGTTCAACGGGCCTTCATGTGCATAAGGCTTCAAAGAGTAGAATGCCTTAATGTGCAAAGCTCAAAATGCCGAGGAACTTTCTAATAAGATCAAAGTGGCCGATGAACCGAATGTTTCCAAAATAGAAAACTTGAAGAAAGTAGAGGAGGACACGGAGGAAATCAAAACCAGTAACAAGGCCTTGGAAGAAGCATTGAACAGGAAACAAGGGCAAGGTGGCTGTTGATTAGGCTCTTCGGAAGTGGAGATCCGAGCATGGTCAGAAACGACATTCTGTACACAACTCTACCAAGTCCAAGAATTCTTGCTCGTCTCACAAAGATTCTCGTTTATGTAAATGGATTGAATCTGGTTTTGAAGCCAACCCCTATCCAAATACTTATCCTGAAGAATTGGAGAATGAGAGAAAGGTAGTATGGAAAGAAAGGTTCAACTGAGAGAGGAAGTGGTCACAATTCACAAGCAGTTGTCAGGAAAGAGGAAGAGAAGATTGGATTTGCTCATTTTTCGCTTCTTTTAGCGAAACAGAATAAGAAGAAGACAAATCTTAACTTGAGGATTCGGTTCCTTTGTCTTCAAGCTTATGTTTGCTAGGTTGTTTCATCTCTATGGTGCTTGTAAAGAGGCTAGGATATTACTTTGTATAAATCGACTGGGTTAAGCTTGGAGTTTTCATGCATAGCAAGCCAGCTATGTAAGGATGATATGCAATGAGGACCACAAACAGCATTTCTGATTGCTCGTGCATCAATATCGTAAATAGTCCTGACGGCCTTCTCTTAGCAGCAGAGGCACAGCAGGATGCAGCCTTAATGATGCTTTGATAACAGCTTTTATTTCATGAATGCCAACATTTCCTCTTCCATCGAAGACATTCTTCTCCATAATTCTGGGGTGCTGACAACGTCGTTTGTCTTCCACAAATTAGAAGCCAAGCTACCCACCATGGAAGGAAAACTATATGTAGATAGGTGATGATTCCATAATAATTACTATTGTATCCATACCTACTCATCAATTTTAAATTGATATCAAATAGTTTCAAGTTTTATTCCACTAATAATTTTAATGTGTATTAGTATTTTAATAAATTTTAAACTTTTCAAAAATATATATTTTAAATTTTTATTGATTTCAATGTATTTTAATTATTATCATATATAGTTTTTGAGTTTCTGTTATATATCAATTCAGTGTTTGATGTAATATCGAAGATCTAATAACGATAAACTTTAATCAAAACCGTAAGGAGACCAAGTGGATTTCAACAACAAAACATTGTGATCGACCGCATAGTAACAAAACCTGGAGAAGGGATAAGTTTTTAAGAAAGGCCAACAACCAATCTCCAACGCCTTGCCCAAACCGACACTCAAAAGGAATAAACCCCATCATCTGCTCTCTCTCTCTCTCTCTCTGCTTTGACCTTCCCTCCCAGGTAGCCAAAAATATCATCTTCCATTAATTTCCTTAGTTTCTATGTACACTATCTTATTCAGGGTGTGTTTTACTATTGGTTTCTTATCTACATGAGAAAATCTTTTATGGGTTATCTTCTTTTTCTTTGTTGAATACTAGTGTTACTTTTGTTTTCTGTTCATCATGTTATGTTTTAATTTATTCATTGGAGGACTCACAGAATATGATTTGTTATGTATTGGTGTTGGAATAGTTTCATCTTATACCAGTGTTGAGTACTGAAAATATTCAGTAACATGAATATGGGACTATAGAATTAAATCTTGATGATAGAGCAATATACTTTTGAAAAGTTTCACCATATTATTTGAGGCTGCTGCCTTGGTTATTGTGACGACCTCACCGGGTGGACCTAAAAACGACATGGTCCAACAAGTCAGGTCATGACGGATCTACTGAGCTTGTCTGTAGCTGGTAATTATTGTTTATTTGTATTTGTGTGTTGGCTTCAGGATTTTCTTTTATGTTGTTTTTATATGATCTTTGTGTTGGAAAATAAAACACTCACACAAATAAATTTTATTAAAACTCAAACAATTATTACAAAAGCACTCTCACTCAAAAACAAGAACTACAACTCATTCTTATAAGACATTGCTTCTTCACTCACTTAGAAGCTCTTAATTTTTCTTTATGCTTAAACTAAAATGTGGAGGGGTATTTATACTACTCAAGAACAATCCTACACCACACAAATAAACTAATTTAAACCATTAAAAAATGAGACATGCCTAACTCTCACCTAACTAAATTGATGTAAGCAATGACATCTTCTCCTAATTGATGCAAGCAATGACATCAACTTAATTTGGGTTTGAGTTTGGGTTTAGGCTCCCATAATGGATCAAGTTTATGATCCAACACCCCCTCTTAAACTTGATCTTGTGACCCCTAGTAAGTTCCTTAATCTTATGAAGTCTTCACTTTTCAGTGGCTTGGTAAAAATATCGGCAACTTGATCTTGTGACTTCACGTATTCAACTTCCATATCGTTTCTTGCAACACACTCCCTTATGTAGTGGTACCGAATGTCGATGTGCTTGCTTCGATCATGGAATACTGGATTCTTTGATAAGGCAATGGCTGATTTGTTGTCGACATAAACCTTGGTAGGCTCTTCTTGTATCAAACCTATATCCTTCAATAGATTTCTAATCCAAATTGCATGACAAACGCATAAAGTACCAGCAACATATTCCGCTTCACAAATGGACAATGTGACAATCGATTGTTTCCTTGACATCCATGTGAAGCAGTATCTCCCATGAAAAATACGAATCCAGTAGTGCTCCTTCGATTATCTATGTCTCCACCCCAATCACTGTCGTTATATCCAACAAGCTTGTAATCATTAGAAACTGAATAGAACAAGCCAAAGTCAATTGTACCTTTCAGATAGCTAAGAATTCTCTTTGCGGCTTTAAAATGGGTGGTTGTTGGAGATTCCATGTAGCGACTAACCAATCCAACTGCGTGAAGAATATCGGGTCTCGTGCAAGTTAGATAGCGTAGACTTCCCACCAAACTTTTAAAGAATGTTGGATATACACTTTCTTCTTCTTCATGTTTGGACATCTTGATCCCGTATTCTGTCGGTATGCTTATTGGCTTACAGTTCTCCATCTTGAACTTCTTCAGTATCTCTTTTGCGTAGCTTTCCTGTGAAATGAAAATTCTATCATTTTGTTGCTTAACTTCAATGCCAAGGTAGTACGCCATGAGCCTCATGTCTGTCATCTCGAATTCTTTCATCATCACATCTTTGAATTCATTAAACATGCTTGGGTTACTTTCGGTGAAGATCAAATCGTCCACGTAGAGGCACACGATCAAAATATCTCCATCTTTGATCTTGATATATAGAGTATGCTCGTAGGGACATTTGTTGAAGCCATTCTCTTGGAAGTACTTGTCGATTCGGCTATTCCATGCCCTTGGTGCTTGTTTTAGCCCGTAAAGAGTCTTATTCAACTTTAACACCTTGTCTTCGTGCCCTTTGACTTCATAGTCTGATGGTTGCTGAATGTAAACTTCCTCTTCAAGAACTCCATTTATGAAGGCATACTTTACATCCATTTGTTGTATCTTCCACTTGTTTTGAGTTGCCAAAGAAATTATTAATCTGATAGTCTCCAATCAAGCAACAGGAGCAAATACCTCATCATAGTCAATTCCAACCTTTTGTCTATAGCCTTTAACAACTAGTCTCACATTATGCCTTTCAATCTTTCTTTTGGTGTTTTGTTTTGTTTTGTACACCCAATTGACACCTATCGCCTTATGTCCCTTGGGAAGTGAGGTAAGTTCCCATGTGTCATTCTTCTCGATGGCTTTGATTTCTTCGTTCATCGTATCTCTCCATTTCTTTTCTTGTACTGCTTCTTGAAAGCTTACTGGTTCACGATCGACAAACAGATAAAATAATGTAAGATTATATTGTCGTTCAGCTGCCTCATAGAGATCTCTAAGGCTTCTTGTACGTTGCACGACTCTTTCACTTTGACTCCTACTTGATGATGAAGAATGTGATAAGTCTCCTTGAGTGGTTGATGTTGGTGAAATTGATGGAGTTTCAAGCTCTTGTTGAGGTACACCTAGTTGTTCCCTCATTGTCTGCTCATCTTCTTCAAACTGAGAAAAGAAATTGAAGTCATCTACATGAGAGTTAAAATCTCATTCTCCTTCTTCGTTGAAGACTACATCTCGACTAATCACAATCTTCTTATTGTCTGGATTGTACAGCTTGTAGCCCTTCGAATTAGCATCATAGTCGATGAAGATAAAACTCTCGTTTTTATCATCAAGCTTTGTTCTTCTCTCGTCTTGTATGTGAACATGGGCTATACTTCCAAAGGTTCTCAAGTGGGAAATGCCAGACTTTCTTCCACTTCATGCCTCTTGCGGTGTGTTTTCCCATACACTTCTTGTTGGAGATCGGTTTGACAAGTAGACTGCATACGATATTGCTTCCGCCCAAAATTCCTTGGGTAGTTTCTTACTTTTGAGCATGCTTCGTGTCATGTTGAGAATTGTTCTATTCTTTCTTTCTGCCACACCATTTTGCTGGGGGGATCTAGGAACTGTTATTGGTCGACAAATTCCATTTGCTTCACAGAACTCTTGAAACTCTCTGGAAGTAAATTCTCCACCTCGGTCGGATCTCATGCCTTTGATCTTTCTACTGCTTTCTCTTTCCACTGCTGCTTTGAACTTCTTGAAGACTTCAAAAACTTCTGACTTCTGTTTCAAGAAAAATACCCAGGTTTTTCTTGAAAAATCATCAATGAAGAGAAGAAAATAGTTATTGTTACCGAGAGAGTTTGATTTGATCGCTCCACATACATCGCTATGGATGAGCTCGAGTGGCTTCTTGGCTCTTGGCTCTGACTCCTTTGGAAAGCTTTTTCTGAATTGTTTCCCGACTAGACACCCTTCACAAAGCTGGTCAGGATGGTTGATGCGAGGTAGTCCCTTCACCATCTCCTTCTTAGATAGCAGCTCTAGACCTCTAAAATTGAGATGCCCAAATCGAAGATGCCAAAGCCATGATGCATCTTTGTAGCAAGCTTTCAGGCACTTTCCAACATCATTTTGTATGTTGATCAAGAACATTCTATTCTTTGACATCGGCACTTTAGCAATGAAGTTATTCTTATCATTTTTTTATAGAAAGATTATAATTATTCATATGAATATCATAACCTTTCTCTACCAGTTGCCCAAAACTTAATATGTTACTTTTCATATTGGGCACATAGTAGACATTTTAAATAAATTGATGTCTCACATCTTTTAAACGGATAAGGATGTTACCTCTCCCTTTCACTACTATTGTGGAATCATATCCAAACGAAACATTTCCGCTTACTGACTCGTCTAGCTCCACGAACATGTCCTTCCTTCCGCACATGTGATTACTTACACCACTGTCAATATACCAGGAATTTGCTTGGCCACCATTAGTTTCGTTTCGCGCTAGAAGAAGAGTTTCTTTGCCATCTGTCTTTTCCTCCACGTAGTTGGCCATCTCCTCACTTTTGTTATTGGGAGCTCTACATTCTGAAGCATAATGCCCAAACTTGTAACATCCTCAATACCGGGTTAGTGACCAAATTGAAATATTTCAGAATCTGGTGATTAAAGTATAATAATTGAATAGTTCAATAATTTATTAGAAATATAGTTGAAGGTTGTTTGGTAATTATTGAATGAATTAAAGGGTAAAATGGTCAATTGGCAAGTAAGATTTGTATTTCCTTTATAAGATAAGGGAACCATGTGGAAGAGGAGAGATTTCTCCAGAATTATCTTCTTCTCCTTTCTTCTTCTTCTCCACATGAAGCCATAAGAAAAGGTAAGATCTCTTGTTGGTTGATATTTAGTCGAATTTAAGATTTGGTTTTGATCATTAGATGATAATTAAGCTTAAGGAAAGCTTAATTTATCTTAAAACCAAAATATACATGAGTCAAGAGAGATTAAAGATTAGAAGTTTTTAAAGGAAATCTTGAATGAAAGTTGATAAGTTAAATTGGAAGTTAAATTTGACTTGTCAATGGTCTAATTAAGAAGTTAGAAGCCATAGAATTAGAATTTAAACATGTTGCAAAGTTGGTATAATTCTTGAGTTACATATGAGGAATAGAACTTTGAAGTTAAAGATGGTTTATATGGATATAAATGATAATAATGTGGATAATAGAATAAGATTAATGATGGAAATAATGTGTGATGTGTATATGTGTACATTATATTATATATAATGATTGTGTGACATCATGAAGTAATATGTTCATACGTGTTTAAGCATTTAGAGTTTCCTTTATAAATTTAATGCCTCACTAAGTCATAGACTTAGCGTGTGATTGTTTCACACGTAGGTTAAAGAAGCGAGAAGAGAAGCGAAGAAGAGCAAGACATGTCAGCATCTCCCTTACAAAATTTCAGATCAGAAAATAGATGATTTAAATGTGTTTGGTTAATTTGAATATAGTTGGCATGTACTAATTGATTGAGTTGAATATGCTCTGATCGATTTTGATTATTTTGGTCAATTTATGCAAATAAACCGCTTTTATTTTAATGAAAGTTTTAAATTTTCTTTGAATTTTGTCAAGAGTCAAAGTTTGAAAAATCAATGTGACACATCAGACTCGTATTCGGGTCGGGTACGGGTTGAGGGTGTTACAAAACTTCTGACAATTATAACATTGAACTTGAGATTTCTCATACTTTAAGTTCGGGTTGATTCTTCCACGGCCTCGTGTTGAGCTTTCTACTTTCTCATAGTTGTTGCTGGAATTGTTATTGTTGTAATTCCAGCCTCGTCCACGACCTCGACTTCCACCTCGTCCATGGTCTCTACCTCTGCCTAGGCCACGTTGGTTTCTATCATTGCGTTGACTTCCATGTATATCCTTGAGTTGCAGCTTGAGGAGTTGCTCAAATTTTATAATAATATAATTATAACAAAAAATATAATATTATATTATTCAAATTATCAATAAATATATTATTTTTAATAATTTATTAGCATAATTAATAAATAACATTAATTTTATTAATGATTTATTATATATTATTAAAATAAAAGTATGACATTATTAATTATAATAATATAAATATAACAAAATTAATAATTAATATAATTTAATAATTAATATTTTTATTAAAATAATACTAAAATAATATATTAATATTAAATATATAAAAATAATAATATTTTTAATGTTTATGCTTTAAAATAAAAAGTTCGTAAAATAACTTTTTAAAAATCATATGATAAGTTATTCTTCAAAAATAAAAAAAAATTATTTAATTAAGAAAATAAATTATATTAATTATCTATTTTTCACCAATCAAGCATTAAAAATAAAAAATTAAAATTTTCTAAAAAATCAATTATATGAAAGAAAACACTCATATTTTTCCTAACTATTCCTTAAAAGCGACAAAATGTTTCGAACTTAGAAAGAAGTGGGACCTACAAGCCCCGGCCACCCAAAGAACAGACAAAAGAGCTCGCTTTACGTGGCGTAGTTTAAATGACTTAGTGACGCATGTAAGATAACTAGTGATCTTTGACGCTTGTCATAACAATCATTAATGACAGCTCGTCCGTTTGCATTGCAACCACCGTCCGAGGAAGGTGGCACCTACACCCGATGTACCCAGCACGGTATTGCACTTGCAACGCGACGTTTAATGGTTGGCCGTTGTTCTTACACGAATTTTCACTTGGCTGTTTTAATTGTCAGATTTATAGATTTCTTTCTATAAGTATAAGGAAATGACCATCCAGCTCAGTTGGTAGAGCATAAGGTTCTTAATCCTGAGGTCGTGGGATCGAGTCTCACGGAGGGCATTTCATAATTCGGAAATCTCTTACGGAAGCTGCTCTCAACCTGGTGATTGGGGGTAACCTACTATCTTACCTCCCATTTACCCCATACATATGGAAAAAAAAGATAGCCATTTTTTTCCATAAGTATAAGATTTAAACATTAACATTTTAATTTAATTTTTAAACACTAAAACTTACGTTTCAAATCTCTCCCTTCCCAATTTTTTTTTATAAGAATGGAAAATCTCATTAAAAATTTTCTTCATATAAAAAAAAAGCCAAAAGAGAAAAAAATACCTCAAAGATTTATTAATAAAAGGGATTTAAATACCCCAAATTACAAAGTATTAAAATCTTACACAGACATAACACAAATTTAAAAATTGATTGAATATTTATCCCTTCCCATTTTTATAAATAAATTGATTAAAATTTAAAAATATTTACATTTATCAATTATCGATTAATTTAATGATGCGAGATGTAAATGTTTTAAGTAATATTTTATGTTTTAATATCGATAGCGTGAACAAAAAAATTGTATTGAAACGATCACCTTATCAACGAATCTGAATATTATTTTAATTAATTTAAATTAATTGATCAACATCTCAAATATAAATAATTATTATTTATATTTCAATACGTAGATATTATATCATAACCCATCAAATTAAGAAAGCTTCTAAGTTTATGATAATTTCGTCCCGAAATTGACAGATTATTATTTTAATCAAATATTAACGGCGGGTATTCATCTTAATCAATAGGTAAATTCAAGTTGAAGCATACAACAAAATCAATATAGTTTCATCATTTTTTGGTAGGTTACAACATCTGATTTGTTATTTATAAAATGTTATCACCTTACCTAGTCCACCTTTCAAAAATATTCCCCTGCTCATAGCTGTTCTCTACTTTCTCACTGTTATGCATCTGTTTGTTTCTCAGAAAAAGCATTCTTACGCATTTCAAGGTACTAACTTTCAACCTTAAATTTTCCGGATTCACTTTTTTAGCTCGATTTTATTATGATTTCATTATTCCGGGGTGTCCTAGTTTCGCTTGAAATCTTTAGATTTGCTCTTTTCTATTAATGTTTTGCTGGAAATTTTGAGATTTGCTTTAGGATTAGAAACTAAAGGTTTTGGTTTCATGGTGCTAGCTAGGTTCAATCTCAGATTTTTATTTCAGATTTAGAAACTAGAGGTTCAGATTTGCTTCAATATTACGAAGATTTTTCGACGAATCAAAATAGATTTCGGGTCACAAACTCTGAAGGCATATTTCATATGCTCACCCTGAAATCTGAGTTACCCACCCTGAAATTTTATTTGTGTCTATCCTATACGAAAAATTTCAAAAATAATTCTTAATCCGACACTGGTTTCATATTACATTTGATCTTTTATTATATATATACTGTTAATGACCCTGATTTTGTTATGAATTCCTTCATCAGGTGAACATCTCATACAGTTCCAGTTAAATTCGAAACTCGGGTTCGGTCTGGTCTGGTCTGGTCTAATTGGGTTTGTCATTTTCGACTGGTTTCTCTAATATCTATCTAGCGTATTTTCTTTCTTGGTTCACAAGGAAACCAAGGAATGCACAAAGATGAGGTTGGAAGTTGATAACCATTCGTTTGGGGTTAATGAAGTTGCTGCTCTGTTTGAACCGCCCTTACTATCTATTCCTAATGATAATCTACATTTAAGTTTCTATAATAGATTGTATTTCCATGCTCTGACGGCTATTGTGACTAGAAATTTAAGGGAACATGTTATGTCAATGCACGACATTTGTGGAGACGGTTGAGCTTTTGCGGAGTTGCAGGTCGGGTTTCGGTTGGTTGCATATACATATATCAGTAACCTAGATCAGATATATAGTACTAGTTGTTAAGGTAGATTCTGCTGCTTTCGATATACTGGAAATGGAGCGTAAAGGGACTGTGTTGATGGGAAAGTATGAAATAGGGAGATTACTAGGACAGGGAACATTTGCCAAGGTTCATCATGCGAGGAATCTCAAAACCGGTATGAGTGTGGCCATTAAGATAGTTGACAAGGAGAGGGTATTGAAGGCCGGGATGATGGATCGGATTATGCGCGAAATTTCGGTCATGAGATTGGTCAGACATCCAAACATTGTCGAGCTTTATGAGGTGATGGCCAGCAAGACGAAGATTTACTTTGTTATGGAATATGTTAAAGGGGGAAAATTGTTCAAGAAGGTTGTGAAAGGGAAGTTGAAAGAGGATGCTTCGAGAAGGTACTTTAAGCAGCTAATCAGTGCTGTCGATTTCTGTCATAGTCGAGGCGTGTGTCATCGGGATCTCAAACCAGAAAACTTCTTGTTGGATGAGCATGGTAACCTTAAGGTTACGGATTTCGGGTTGAGTGCTCTTGCTGAAACGAAACATCAAGATGGATTGCTCCACACAATATGCGGGACACCTGCTTATGTTGCACCCGAAGTTATCAACAGACGAGGCTACGATGGATGCAAATCTGATATCTGGTCATGCGGGGTAATCTTATATGTTCTTCTGGCTGGCTATCTGCCATTCCAGGATTCGAATCTGATGGAGATGTACCGGAAAATCGGCAAAGGGGAGTTCAAGTTTCCGGACTGGTTTGCGCCCGAAGTACGCAGGTTACTGTTGAAAATCTTGGATCCGAATCCAAGAACAAGGATCTCCATCGAGAAAATAATGGAACATCCATGGTTCAGAAAAGGGTTGGACCGTAAAACTGAAGCCGTCGATGCTGAAGTCAAAGAACCAGCTATGGTGCTGCAAACCAGAACTCCTTGGAGTAACTTGAATGCCTTTGATATCATCTCCTTGTCTGCAGGCTTTGCTTTATCTGGTTTATTCGAGGAAAAAGAACAGAAGAAAGAAGTTCGATTTTCGTCGAACAAGTCGGCTCCGACCATCATTTCGAAACTTGAAGATATTGCTAAGCGTCTGAAGATGAAAGTAAAGAAGAAAGATGACGGGTTGTTGAAGATAGAAAGCTCAAATGAAGGCAAGAGAGGTACATTGGAGATCAATGCCGAAATCTTCGAAATTACACCATTTCTCCACCTGGTGGAGGTGAAAAAGAGCAATGGAGACACATTGGAGTATCAAAAGTTAATGAAACAAGAGATAAGACCGGCACTGAGCGACATCGTTTGGGCTTGGCAAGGCGAACCGCCTCTGCAACCATCACTGCTGTCGCCTATGGAGCATCAAGAGTCGCAACAATTTCATGTAGGTTCGACCCAGAGTTGATCACCGTTTTCAATTTGCTTGTATTTTCAAACCATCTGCCTTTTTGTGTAATATATAAGTTGAGACTGTCTGAGTTGTGTTCGTTTGGGTTCTTGGTAAGTTTGTACTTCAACTTCAATTACGATAAGTATCAGTTAAACTAATTAGCCAACTCGCAAATGATTTACACATGATTCGATTCGAATTCATATAAAACTGTAAGATTTCAAATTGTTTCAGTCGTTGCTTTACGAGCAAAACACCCAAATTTTCCCCAAACTGGTCTGGATCTCTTTGTCGGCCAGTATTGGATTGTTCCTTGCTTTCATCGGTGTTGACGAAAACGGGTAAAGAAAACGAAAGAACACGAGAATTTTACGAGGTTCGGCAATGTGCTTACGTCCTCGGTGCCTAGGCGGCGCTAGAAGTTTTATTCAATGATCTTTTTAGGTCTAGGTTACATCTCTATTTATAATAGAAAACCCTGGTACATAATTACAAAATCAACCCTGTACCGTACCGCGGGGGCTGCGCCCCCACACCCCCCAACCCACATAATTCGTAACCCCACAACGAGACTTTTTATGAGCCATACATAACAAATCTCCACCTTGGCGAATATCCTGCCCCTTGGAAACTTCAATGTGGGTTGGGTTACCTTGCTTCTTTAACAACTCGAAACATTCAACAAGTCCAAGCAATGCTTGAACTTGTCTGTCGTAACTGGCTTGGTGAACATATCAGCGGCATTCTCATCAGTATGTACCTTCTGAAACAAAACCTCTCCAGATGCAACCAACTCTCTGATCTTGTGGAACCTTACATCAATATGTTTAGTTCTAGCACGATACACCTGATTCTTAGCCAAGTGAATAGCACTTTGATTATCACAAAGCAACTGAACTCCACCTTGTTGAACACCCAACTCCCTCACTAAACCAGTAAGCCATAAAGCTTCTTTTGCAGCTTCAGCCGCTGCCATGTATTCAGCTTCAGTTGTAGATAGTGCCACGACAGATTGAACAGTAGACTTCCAGCAAATAGGCCCTCCACCAAGAGTAAACACATACCCTGTCGTAGATCTTCTATTATCCAAGTCACCTGCATAATCTGAATCCACATATCCTACAACCAAAGGATTATCCCGCTGACTCCCAAAAATAATTCCATGTCCCACAGTACCCTTTAAGTACCGAAAGATCCACTTGACTGCATCCCAATGTTGCTTACCAGGTTTAGACATGTACTTACAAACTTGACTAACAGCATGAGCTAAATCAGGACGAGTACATACCATCGCATACATCAAGCAGCCAACAGCATTAGAATACGGAACCTTTGCCATATTTTCAGCTTCCTTATCTGTCTTAGGGCACTGTTCTGATGAGAGCTTAAAGTGATTCGCCAATGGAGTGCTAACTGGTTTCGCGCTGCTCATCGCAAACCTTTCTAGCATTTTCTCAACATAACCCCGTTGAGATAGCCGCAGTTTCCTTGAGTCTCTGTCCCTGCAAATTTCCATTCCAAGAATTTCTTTGCAGCACCTAAATCTTTCATATCAAATTCCTGACTCAATAAAGTTTTCAAACCGATAACATCATCCATGTTCTTCGCAGCAATCAACATATCATCAACATACAGTAATAGAAAATAAAGAACCATCATCAAGGCTCTTAACATAGACACAACAATCATACTCACATCGGTTGTAGCCAATCTTGATCATATAGGAGTCAAACCGTTTATACCACTGTCTCGGAGACTGTTTCAACCCGTACAAAGATTTCTTCAATCTGCAAACTAAATGCTCGTTTCCAGGTTGAGTGAAACCTTCAGGTTGCCGCATGTAGATCTGCTCCTCTAAATCACCATGCAAAAAGCAGTTTTAACATCCATCTGCTCTAAATGCAAATCCCAACTAGCCACCAATGCAAGTACTGCTCGGATTGAAGTGTGCCTGAACACAGGAGAAAAGATTTCATCATAATCAACTCCTTTCTGCTGTGAAAAACCCTTCGCTACCAAACGAGCCTTGAACTTCTCCCCCTCTTTTTCTGTTACTACTGGTTTCTTCTTATACACCCATTTGCAACCAATCGGCTTCTTACCCTCAGGAAGGGGAACTAACTCCCATGTGCGATTGTGATTCAAAGACTCCATCTCCTCAACCATGGCTGCCATCCACTTGTCGTTTTCCTGACTAGTAACGGCATCATGAAAAGTAAATGGATCATCACTGCTAACAGTAAGTGCAAAAGATACCAAGTCTTCAAAACCCAATCTGTTCGGAGGCTTTATATTCGTCCGTCTCACCCTGTCTCTGGCGAGACTATAATCCTGCAAATCATCCGTAGTGGAACCACCAGAAGTCGGTTGAGAAGTTTCTGGTTTCTCAACTGGAAACTGCTCGAAATCTACCACTGTCGTGTCTTGCTTCTGCTGCAACATAGACTGTTCATCAAAAACGACATCTCTACTAATCACAACTTTCTTCGCAACTGGATCCCAGAACTTGAATCCTTTGACACCTTTCTTGTAACCCAGAAAAATGCACTCCTTCGATTTTGCATCAAGTTTGGATCTCTCATCAGCAGGTACATGCACATAAGCAGGACAACCAAAAATCCGTAAGTTATCAAAACTAACATCATGACCAGTCCATACCTCTTCTGCAACTTTCCCAGCCAGCGATGCCCTTGGCGATCTGTTGATAAGGTAACACGCCATGTTAACAGCCTCAGCCCAGAAGTGTTTGGGAAGCCCCGCATTCAACCGTAAACATCTGGCTCTTTCATTCAACGACCTGTTCATTCGTTCCGCAACACCATTCTGTTGTGGTGTCTTGCGCACTGTAAAATGCCTCTGAATCCCATGCTCCTTACAGAATTGTAGGAACTGTGAATCTGTGTACTCCGTACCATTATCAGACCGCAAACACTTGATTTTTCGTCCTGTTTGGTTTTCTACCTCAGCTTTCCACAGCTTGAACTTCTCAAAAACTTCAGATTTCTGTTTCAAAAAATACACCCAAACTTTCCGTGAAAAATCATCAATAAAAGTAACATAGTACCTAGATCCACCCAAAGACGATGTCGTGGAAGGCCCCCATACATCAGAATGCACATAATCAAGAATCCCTTGAGTTGTGTGCTTCGCAGTCTTGAAACGGACTTTAGTCTGTTTACCAAGAACACAATACTTGCAAAAATCGAGCTTACAGCTTTTGACACCATGCAACAAGTTTCTCTTGTGTAATTCTGCCATACCACGTTCACTAAGATGAGCAAGGCGCATATGCCACAATTTTGTCGTATCATCACAGGACTCAACAAAGTGAACTCCACCTGCAACGGCACTCCCTAACAATCTGTAGATATTCCCTGCAGTCATCTTGTCTTTCATCACAGTCAATGCTCCTTTAACAATCCGAATGGTTTCCCTATCATCGTCAGCCTTAGGGATAAAACCATTCTTGTGCAAAGTGCCCAAGGAAATCAAATTCTTCTTCAAGTCTGGGATATGTCGAACACCACTCAACGTCCGAACGGAGCCATCGTGCATCTTAATTCTGACATCACCAATACCAACAATATTGCAACATCGATCATCACCCAAATAAACCGAACCAGAATTAACCGGCCTGTATGTCGAAAACCATTCCCTATTTGGCGTGATGTGATAAGAACATCCAGAATCAAGAATCCAAGCATCCGTCAATTGTGTCGTTGAAATAGAAAGTATATCACCCTCACTGCAATCAGAAGTATCATCCTCGACCACGTTCACAGACTTGGATGAGCCATCACGCTTCTCATCGGTCTGCTTTTTCATCTTCGGACAGTCTCGCTTCATATGTCCCGCCTCCTTGCACTTGTAACAGTGAATCGTCTTCTTATCCCTGGATTTGGATCTGGAATTCCGCTTCCCGGACCCTGCCTTCTCTGGCTTCCGTCCACGATCTCGATTACCCTTGACATATAAGCTATCAGCTTGAGAGCTTTCCCCTGCATTCTGCTTCCGCTGGTTGTGAGCCAACAAGGCTGCAGTAATCTCCTCAACATTGATAGTCTCTTTCCCATATGTAAGAGTAGTCACCATGTGTTCGTAAGAGGAAGGCAACGAACACAACAGAATCATCGCTCTGTCTTCATCCTCAATTTTCACATCAAGCCGAGCCAGATCAGAAACGATTTGATTGAAGACATTCACGTGTTGCGCCAAATCATGATCGTCCTGCATCTTCAGCCCATACAACCGCTGCTTCAGATACAGTTTTGTCGTTAAGGATTTGGACATAAACTGACTTTCCAACTTCCTCCAAATTTCGTCTGGAGACGATAGATGCATGACGTGATACATGACCTCGTCCGCCAAGCATAATCGTATGGTTCCTGCCGCTCGCTGCTGCAATTCTTCCCAATCTTCCTCATCCATCGACGTCGGCTTTGTAGGTCGCAAAGCCTTCAAGATCCCTTGCTGCGCCAATAGATCCTTCACCCTCGTTTGCCATAATCCGAAGTTACCCTGACCATCGAATTTCGCGACTTCGAATTTTGCTCCTGACATCTGATACCAATTGTTGACGAAAACGGGTAAAGAAAACGAAAGAACACGAGGATTTTACGAGGTTCGGCAATGTGCTTACGTTTTCGGTGCCTAGGCGGCGCTAGAAGTTTTATTCAATGATCTTTTAGGTCTAGGTTACATCTCTATTTATAATAGAAAACCCTGGTACATAATTACAAAATCAACCCTGTACCGTACCGCGGGGGCTGCGCCCCCACACCCCCAACCCACATAATTCGTAACCCCACAACGAGACTTTTTATGAGCCATACATAACAATCGGATTAAAAAAACCATCAAGGCAATGGCCTCGTCGGATATACCCCTTCGATGTTGGTTACACTAACGACCTGCCCTAGACCCTTGAGGAAAGCTTTGGCTCCTGTAGTCACTGCAGCAAACAGTACGGTTGGTTTCGTCGATGGCAGAACTGTATCGAGTGACATCTTTTCGATTTTGTGATCATTGCCATTTGTTTTGTGAAAAACATCAAAGGTGCCATGATTTATGGTATAGTTTTCGTCACTGTTATTTCATGGTTTCGAAACATTTCCGTGACATATTTCCCGAACACCAATGTGGGAAACGCCGCGTATAGGCACTTCAAGAAGGTTGCCGACGTTCATTCAATGGAGGCCACGGCCAATGCCTTGAATTTCAAGCACATGAACAAAGGATACTTTTGGGAAGCATTGGTGACGTTCCTATACGTCGACATATTAGACACCACATGAACATTATACTCAATGGCACGATTCACCGATGAAAAACGGTGATCTCAAAGGCCAATACTTCGCTTTCATGTGGTTGCAGCCTCCGTTGTGGCAGGATCGCTTCTTGGAACATCACCGGTGACGACATTCATCGAATCCTCAACAGGGATTCAAGAAGGGGGGAGAATAGGCTTAACGGTAGCGGTGTATTTCTTTCTAGCGTTTTTCTTCACACCGTTGTTGGCATCGATCCCGGCATGGGCGTTATGGCCGCGGTTGATACTGGTTGGTGTGTTGATGATGAGATGAATCGTAGATGAGGCAGGCGATACTTGCATTCATTCGTCACGTTGATTCTCATGCCATTGTCTATGGTTTGATTGGGGGGATCGGGACATACAATATTTGGGATGGGGTTTTCTTGTGGGGCAGTAATCTGGTGAATCAAACAAGTAATGCTAGTGGTAATACTACATCTCAAGTGGATGATAAGATGCCTCAAGTTTAATCAACATCTTTACTGTTGTTCTTCACTGCATTTTGCTATAAACATGGGTTAGTTTATGATTATTTTGATTTAACCTATAATCAATTAAATTTTAATTCAATTACCATCCTTATTGTCCTAATATCTTAGAGGTTAAAGTATTCATTAGACACCAATTTAAAGATTTGAGGGTTTTATGTAGCTTAATTATTTACATCATAATATAAAATTAAATTAAAGAACATGAATTGAATCTACAAATTACATCGATAGATATTACTAATATAATTTAACTTAGATAATTGTCAATGTTTATGATTGGTATTTAAAATTTAAATACGAAATAAGAATAATCAAATTATAATATAAAATTAAACCTATAATTTATGACTAATAATCATAACTAATGTGTTGGATAACTATTTTAAATGTTTCTTAAAATAAATAATAATACTCCTTAATTTAGAATATTTAAATAATTTGTAAAAATAAGAAGAAGAAAAAGTAATTTAAGAGCCTTTTTCATAATTAGGGATGACAAATGGGTGGGGAGGGTGCGGATACCCCATCCCCATACACACCTAATATTTTCGAATTCACCACCCGCCCCCCACCTATGATGGGTAAAATGTTTTAAATCCACACCTGCCCACGCGGATACATTCTCAAATCTATCCCCACACTCACTACCCAACTGGAGACGTACCTAGTTAGACCCGCCTGACTTCAATCTTAAGTTATACATAAGTAACAAACATAAAACAAACACGACCATGAAGAAACATAATAAAATAAATCAATGATTATCTTAGTAAAGTGTTAATATAAATTTTAAATTACATAAAACACCATAATAAAATACATAAGTAAAGCCTAGAAACATAAATGACAAACACATAATATTTTTGTTCTTTGGCACACATAAATGACAAACCCTAAAATTATACCTAAATTTATAATGGTCTAAAATTTAATGGATATTTAGTGGGCTTGCGGATGTGGGGCGAGCAGATGAGAGGCGGGTAAGATCTCAAACCCATCACCCAGCCACTACTCGCGATGGGTACCACTTTCTAAATTCACACCCGCCCACTACCCATTAAAGTTATACCCATCTCCATCTCAATTGAAGAGGGTACGATACGAAATCTACGAAATTGTGCTAGTTGTCATCCCTATTCATAATAAGTTAACCGTTAAAAATAGCAAACAAGTGTCACGAGACACGTGGACGGATACCATTTGTCCCCAACCCAATCCAATACAAAAATAATCATGCAAAAAAAGTAAGAAAATTCCACGTTTCCAATCGAAGTATTAAGACAAAAATGCTGTCCTTTAAATTGCTTCCCCGTCTGCTGGAGAACCCACGATTCCGGTGTCAAACAAACCCCACATTTGTTAAGAAATCTCAAGTACTGAGTTTGGACTCGATTTGGAACTCGGTAGATCATCGGTTTCTTGTGTGGTTTTGTTTCAACCACCGGATTCGACAATGCCGGCGTTCGGAGACCATTCCAGCATGAACAATTGGTTGTCGGATATTTCATCGGAGATGGCGCTGTTCGGAAAGTACGAGGTCGGAAAATTATTGGGGCATGGGGCGTTTGCAAAAGTTTACCAAGCGCGCAATGTGAAGACCGGGGAGACCGTGGCGATTAAAGCAGTGAGCAAACGGAAAGTTCTCCGAGGAAAACTGATGGCGCAGGTTAAGATGGAGATCGCTATCATGCACCGGTTGAACCACCCCAACATTGTCAAACTCGTCGAGGTGTTGGCGACCAAGACAAAGGTTTACTTCGTCATGGAATACGCCAAAGGTGGGGAATTGTCCTCTAGGATTAAGAAGGGACGTTTCAGCGAAGATCTCAGCCGTCGTTATTTCCAGAAGTTGATTTCCGCCGTCGGATTCTGCCACTTAAGAGGCGTTTACCACCGCGACTTGAAGCCGGAAAATCTCCTCCTCGACGAAAATTGGAATTTAAAAGTAACCGACTTCGGACTCAGCGCCGTATCGGAACAGGTCCGACAGGACGGTCTCCTCCACACTTTATGCGGAACTCCGGCTTACGTGGCACCGGAGATTCTGGCGAAGAGGGGATACGATGGCGCCAAAGTCGACATTTGGGCATGCGGCATCATTTTGTTTTTCCTCCACGCTGGGTATCTCCCGTTCGACGATTCCAATATGACGATGATGTACCGTAAGATTTATCGAGGTGAATTCAAGTTCCCGAAATGGACGTCGCCGGAGCTCCAACGATTGATATCTCATCTCCTCGACACCAACCCTGAAACGAGGATCACCATTGATGAAATCATGAATGATCCATGGTTTAAAGACGGCTTTAAAGAAGTCAAAGTCCACCCCTTCTTCGATTTCGAAATGAAAGAAGAAACACAAAGCAACATACGCTTAAACGCTTTCGACTTAATCTCTTTCTCATCGGGTTTCGACCTGTCCGGTCTGTTCAACGACGTCGATTTTCCCGTCCAACAAGAGCGGTTCATATCGGCGGAGAAACCGTGGAAGATAATAGATAGAATCAGGGATGAGGTTGACAAAATTATGAACGTTGAAGTTATAAGCATGACAGATAGTGGGATACGTTTGGAACACCAGTGTAGCAATTTGGTCATCACCATTGATGTTCATCAGTTGACGGAAAAGCTCGTAGTGGTGGTGGTTAACCGCCGGGAGCTCAACGCCGGGTCAAGTGACGAACTTTGGAACGATAAATTGAAACCCAGACTTTTCGATTTGGTATATAATTCTGGAAGCGACGCAAAGCAAGAATCTGAGTAATTCGGCATGCTCAGGTAAAGCTCGGAACCTGTGGAAAAATGATGGACCGTCGATGCCGCCTCAAACTGAAGAAACAACAACCTCGGTAATTAAGCTTTTCCCGGAAATTCAAAAACTGGATTTTGCATTTATTCTTTTGCCAATATGTAGATTCATAGTTGGCTTCACAACAGATTTTGATAAGAAAATGAAAAAATCTGTTCGATATTTTAATTTAAACAGTGTAATTATCCATATGAATAATTTATTCATATAAATAAAAACATCAAAGGAGTCGGAGGATCTGCTTGCCTCTTATCTTTCTTTGAATTCTGATGAGCTTGATTTGAAGGATCTCCATTTCAAGTAGTGAAATTTAATCACTGTGTTTCAGTTGCTTGTAAATCCCAGGACAATTGATATAAAATTTAAATTATTTAATTTACTTTTAACACAGAGTCTATAAATGGGATCATCCCACACTGTTTTCATCATCATCTTGAAATCCTTCGGTTCAGGCTGCTACTTGAACCCTCCGTTGGATCCTGAAATCCGATGTTCTCAACCGCTCCGACGGTCTTGAACAACCGCCTTTTGTTTACCTCTGCCATCACGTATCGATGCAGCAACCGGCTACGTATGTCGACTAGTGAACGGATCTTTGTTAGCTTTCGCTGTCCGCTTAAGTTTGAAGCCTTCCATGAATCGAGTTGTGCGTCGCATTGTATGTAGCTGTAAGAACTGGTGCTCTCTGATGGACAAAATCTTGTTGATTTGAGGGTCTTCAGGATGTTGGAATGTACACATTGTGGGAGACTTGAATCGAACTCGTCTTCGAAGTTCATGTTGGAGTATTGAGAGCAACTTGGACTTGCATCATCGTTGTTGAATGCACTGCAGCCGGAAGTTAAATTTTCCCCTGAGAAATTCGTGTGAGGAGCACTGGGAGGGAGACTTGGGAGGAAGAATGAGAGGATGTAGCATAGAACGGATGGTGATTTCTGTTACAATCATTATCTTCGTCTTCGTCGTCGATGTCTTCATACCTGAAGGTGTGCTGATGATGGAAATTAGAGGATCTCCAGTCCTTCCAAGTAGGGATAAGGGAAGATATCTCTTCCTCTATCATATCAGCAATCTCCAATGGTTCCCAGTCATTGATCTCCAATTCTTTCACCATATCCAGGGCAACTTCGATCACGATGTCGTTTACTATGTCGAAGGGAAAATAGATGTTCCGAGCATGACCTATGACATCACAAATCAAAACTTGTAAAATAGGATTTAGATTAGTCCGATAAACATATCGAATCAAGTCATGCCACGGTACCTTCCTTGTCTGTAATCTGTACTTTGAGAAAAATTGTGTCATCTACAGGGTCCATTGTGCCAGTTATTGACATATTAGTAGTCCTTATTGGATCAGCCTTCACTAAAGGCACAAGCTCTGCAACTGAGCTCAACACTCGGGGGTATGGCAGCAAATTCCCTTCAGCATAGGCCAAAAATGGATCGAGCAAGAGCTCGCGAGAAGGAAATCTCTTCGAAACCTGGTCGAGACACTTCCCAATGAACCTCCTAGCTTCTCCATCTTGGATCCTGTTTATTGCCTCTGGCAACTTTCCCTGCAGAGTTAAGAAAATGGAATAGATTAGCTAGATGGTTAATGTTACCGAAATTAATGAACTAAATGTAACTCACCGAAGTCACTTTTTTGTAGATTTGAGCCGGATTCGAGCACTCGCTATATGGATACTCCGAAGTAAGCATCTCCAATACACACATGCCAAAGGAATACACGTCTACGAGCTCATCGTAATTCTCCTCGTACAGCTCCGGTGCCATGAATTCCGGTGTACCTAGCATGTTATACACGGGTGCACACATTTGACATACAAATATATGCAAGTATACAGACAGAGATGATTGATTCTATGGAACTTAAGTGGATTCTGCGGATTGAGAGCTAACCTATAACACAGTGAGCATGTTGTGAACCGCGAAGAATGGCGGCCAATCCGAGATCACCAATCTTAACTTGTCCAAGGTGACCATTGGCAAAGATGTTTATCACATTTGAGATCTCTATGTATCACTGGAGGATCATGGCCATGGAGATAAACTAGACCCTGTAGGATTTGTCGAGACCAGTTCTTAACCGTTGATGCAGGGGGATCCGAGACAGATGATGCTGAGCTGTCAGATTGCACCTTGATTGCGCTGAGATACCATGAATTGGAAGATCAGCGCAAAGGCGAGAATTGATTGTGACATGTTCCTCATTGGGGTCGTTTTGAGTATGTTTTAGTCTTTTGGTCATAACTTTGGCTACAGGTGTCAGAATCGCGCATAAGACCCCAATCCAGAAAGTTCTTTTCGACGCGTACGCTCTCCATATGAGCTATGCTCCATGTGGCCTTTTTTCAATCTCAAATTCTGCCATTTTTCCCTCCGAATCATTAGATTTAGATATTTTTTTTACTATTTATGATAATATTTCGATTGTCAATTAGGAAGTCAATTTAAATCCGATTTAGGCCGGATTTTTTGGAGATTGCTTATTTTATTTCAAATTTCAATTTAGAGTGATTTTCGGGATTTTGCTATTTTTGGCAAAATTCGAATAAAGACGATTTTTTGGCTATAACAGTCTGACTTGTGGACTGATTTTGGGGATTGTTTTGATTTTATAATATTTTATTAAACCCTATAGACTTTTTTCTCTGGGTTTTTTGGGCGAATTTTCTCTTGTGAATCATCTGTTGGAGCGCCTGCAGGATAATCATTATTCTGTCCGGCGTCAATTGGTATCAGAGCTTCAACATCTTCCTGGGAAATTTCACCAGTTTTAATGGCTGGAGGTCGTGGTCGTGGTCTTCGTGAGCAGGTTCCGAATGAGAAAGCCTAACGCCGTGATCGCAGCGTTCAGGATGTGATGATTGTGGATTTGCAGAGGCAAGTCGCAGAATTAACTCAGCGCCTGGCGGCACAGGACTTCGAGAATCGTGAGGCCTCTGATCACGATACCAATTCCACTTTCGAAAACCCATATCACAATCGTGCTCTATTCCGGGAGCACCGTGGTCGGGAGGAGCGTCACGGAGACCTCGATTTTCGGGTCAATCTCCCTGAGTTTTCTGGTACGTTATAGGTCGAGGGATTCGTGGATTGGATTAATGAAGTGGAGCGTATTTTTGAATATAAGGAAGTCCTCGATCGTGTGAAAGTGAAACTGATCGCCATCAAACTCAAGGGCAGAGCATCTGCGTGGTGGGAACAGTTGCGACGTTCACGAGAAAGACAGGGCAAGGCCAAGATCACTGATTGGGAGAAGATGAAGAAAAAGATGAAGGGTCACTTCCTTCCCTTCGGCTACACACAAACCTTGTTTCAGCGACTTCATGCGTTGAGGCAGGGCGCACGATCAGTCGATGATTACACGGAGGAGTTTTACCAATTGGTCGCCCGGAACAATTTATCTGAGACGGAGGAGAAAATGGTGGCGCGGTATTTGGGGGGTTTATGACAGCCCTTACAAGATGTCCTCAGCCTTCATTCATTGTGGAGTGTTTCGGAAGCTTACCAGCGTGCACTTGCTGTTGAAAAATAGCAAAACAAGAGACCAGTGATCAAGAACGATCACAACAGTCAGCCAGTTCGTCCTCAGGATTCCCGTCCTGCTCAACAGCCACCGCAGGGTAATTCTAACCCTACTATTAGATGTTTTCGTTGTGGTGAACAAGGGCATAGGGCGACTGATTGTAGGAAGCCTACTAGTCAAAAGGGAAAAAATTTGTTGATTGAGGAAAACGCGGAAGACGAGACTGAGGAGATTGGCGAACCCGTGTATGATAGTGATGAGACTGATGATGTGATGTATGGAGACGGTCATGAGACTCTGGTCGTTCGCAAGAGTCTACTTAATCCCAAGGGCGATTCAGGGGACGATTGGTTGAGAACCAATATTTTCCACACAACCTGCACAGTTGCAGATAAAGTCTGCAAAATGATCATTGACAGCGACAGTTGTGAGAATGTAGTGTCCGAGGAGGTTGTCCAGAAATTGCAGTTGAAGACGGACCATCATCCTAAGCCAGACAAGCTGTCATGGCTAAATAAAAGCAGTGAGGTAACAGTTGATAGGCGATGCCTCGTGTCTTTTTCAATTGGTAGAAAATATTTTGATAATGCCTGGTATGATGTTGTGTCTATGGATGCGTGTCATATATTGTTGGGTCGACCCTGGCAGTATGATCGCAGTGTCATTCATGATGGACGGAAGAATACATATTCCCTTAGCATCAAGGGAAAAAAGATTGTGTTGGCACCCCGGCGGGAAGGACTCACTCCTACCCCAGTAACCCATAATACTACTTTGTTTTCTATGTCCAGGTTTTTAGATGAGATTAAGCATGGAGACGTGGTCTATGCCTTACTACCTTGCGAGAACAATGCAGTAGACGTGGATACAGATTTACTAGTAGACGTGCAGCGGCTGCTAGCAGAATTCTCTAACTTGATGCCAGAGGATCTTCCTCCTGGGCTACCACCTATAAGGGATATTCAACATCAAATTGACCTTGTTTCTGGGTCAGGTTTGCCAAATCGACCAGCATATCACCTCAGTCCCAAGAAGGCTGAAGAGTTGCAGCGACAGGTGGAAGAGTTGTTGGAGAGGGGCTATATCCGAGAGAGTATGAGCCCATGTGCAGTCCCTGCTCTGCTAGTGCCAAAGAAAGATGGTTCTTGGCGTATGTGTGTTGATAGCCGAGCGATCAACATAATTACAGTGAAGTACCGGTTTCTAATTCCCCGTCTAGATGATATGTTGGATCAATTATCTGGTTCTAAGGTCTTCTCAAAAATTGACCTTAAGAGCGGTTACCACCAAATCAGAATAAGACATGGAGATGAGTGGAAGACGGCGTTTAAAACGCCACAAGGGTTGTATGAAAGGATGGTCATGCCTTTCGGGCTATCCAATGCGCCCAGTACGTTCATGAGATTTATGCATCAGGTCTTG